CTGAATGCTTAATATCTGTGCATTCTATTGAATATCAATTATAACTCAGTAAAAATTAAATGTAAGGGCTGAGTGTGGTAGCTCACTTCTGTAACCCCAGCACTCTGGGAGGCTGAGGTGGGTGAATCACTTGAAAGCAGAAGTTTGAGACCAGCCTGGGCAACACAGCAAGACCCTATCTCTACATAAAATACAAAAATTAGCCAGGTGTAGTACACATGCCTGTTGTCCCAGGTACTTGGAGACCTGAGGTAGGAGGATGGCTTGAGCCAGGGAGATTGAGGCCACAGTGAGTCAAGATCACGCCACTGCACTCCAGCCTGTCTCAAAAACAAAAAAGTAAATAATTAAGTATAGAAAAATGCTGCTTAGACCTAAAAATGCTCCTATGAACTATACCTGGTTTTTAGAACACATATAGTTGGGTATATAGTTACAAATAGAATTGCTGGGTCATAAGGTGCATGTGAATCCTGGCTCTGTCACTTAACAGCTGTATGACATTAGGCAAGTACCCAGAATCTCCAGTTTCTTTCCTTTTTTTTTTTCAGACAGTCTTGCTCTTGTCACCCAGGCTGGAGTGCAATGGCACGATCTCGGCTCACTGCAACCTCTGCCTCCTGGGTTCAAGCGATTCTCCTGCCTCAGCCTCCCGAGTAGCTGGGATTACAGGCACCCACCACCATGCCCTGCTAATTTTTGTATTTTTAGTAGAGATGGGGTTTCAGCATGTTGGGCAGTCTGGTCTCAACCTCCTGACCTCGTGATCTGCCCACCTCAGCCTCCCAAAGTACTGGGATTACAGGCGTGAGCCAACGCGCCCAGTCAGAATTTCCAGTTTCTTTATCCATATTAACCAAGGAGTTAATATCACCTTGATGGGTGTAAACACATGAAGACTACTTTCATTAACAAAAGTATGTAGTGCTGAGAGACATTTTCTCTAAAGTCACAGATTTTTAGAAAATTTGCTGTTCGAATTATCAGTTAAGAATGGAATATGAGGAGCTTCGGGAACCGCGGCTTGGGTGCAGACATGGCCAAGTCCAAGAACCACACCACACACAACCAGTCCCGAAAATGGCACAGAAATGGTATCAAGAAACCCCGATCACAAAGATACGAGTCTCTTAAGGGTGTGGACCCCAAGTTCCTGAGGAACATGCGCTTTGCCAAGAAGCACAACAAGAAGGGCCTAAAGAAGATGCAGGCCAACAATGCCAAGGCCATGAGTGCACGAGCTGAGGCCATCAAGGCCCTCGTAAAGCCCAAGGAGGTTAAGCCCAAGATCCCAAAGGGTGTCAGCCGCAAGCTCGATCGACTTGCCTACATTGCCCACCCCAAGCTTGGGAAGCGTGCTCGGGCACGCATTGCCAAGGGGCTCAGGCTCTGCCGGCCAAAGGTCAAGGTCAAGGCCAAGGCCAAGGATCAAACCAAGGCCCAGGCTTCAGCTCCAGTTTCAGTTCCAGCTCAGGCTCTCAAAGGTGCCCAGGCCCCTACAAAGGCTTCAGAATAGATATCTTTGTCTGCCAATGCGAGGACAGAAGGACTGGTGTAACTCCCCTGGGGCTGCCATCTGCATGGGGCTGGGGTCCTCCTGTGCTATTTGTACAAATAAACCTGAGGCAGGATTAGTTAAAAAAAAAAAAAAAAAAAAAAAAAAAAGAATGGAATATATCACTCTTACCTGGAGGATCAGTTACTTTGACACAGAAGAGCAGCCTCAATTTCTAACCCAGGTGCAGAGCTTCAGATAAGGGATTTCCAGGCACAACATTCTACATTTATCTTGGCATCATGGTTTCCTAGGAAACAGATCCCGAGTCCTCTTGTTAGCTGGGGCCTGATGATAATCCGTTTACACATAGCCTGGTGTGTTTTGGGGCTATCAAAACACTGCTTCTTTAAAATTTTATCTACATTTCTTTCCCCCAAATCCTAGAATAACTAATTACCTGCCTGTGTTTTGTGACATGCTCCATGATTCCTTTGGTGTTCAGTTTCCCTTGTAGCAGCAAGTTAATAAACTTAACTTTGTCAGACTACAGGTAGTCTTTATCAGATGTGCTTTATTTTGGAGATTACTGATAATGTAGACAAAATGTGTTCACACTGCCTGGCACCTAATAGGCATTTAGGAAATGATAAGATTATTATTTTTAAATTATTCATGTGTTAATTTAATGTTTGTTTGTTTGACATCCAGTATTTGCAAGGCACAGATTTACTGCTATGAGAGATGCTCACTGCAACCTTCACCTCCCAGGATTAAGCTACACTCCTGTCTCAGCCTCCCAAGTAGCTGGGACTAAAGGCCTGGGCCACTGTCCCTGGCTAATTTTTGTATTTTTGGAAAAGACAGTGTTTCAACATTTTACCCAGACTGGTCTTGAACTCCTGAGCTCAAGCGATCACCCCGCCTCAGCCTCCCAAAGTGCTGGGATTCCAGGTGTGAGCCACTGCACCCAGCTTAAAAACCACTTTTATTTTGTATGGAGAAAGAAAATACTATTTTTAATTCCTAAAAGAAAAATACCTTTAATGAACTTCACTTTAGTGTCAAATGTAAATCAAAAATTTCTCAGGACTATTGTATAGGGAAAAAAGTGTAATTTTCATGATTTGCTATAAGATTTTATATAAAACTATGGATTCTGAAAAAGGGTAAGGTTTTATAATAATAACCAAAACAGGCCAGGCTTGGTGTCTCATGCCTGTAATCCCAGCACTTTGGGAGGCCGAGGCAGGCAGATCACCTGAGGTCAGGTGTTCGAGACCAGCCTGACCAACATGGTGAAACCCTGTCTCTACTAAAAATACAAAAATTAGCCAGGCTGTAGTGGTGTATGCCTGTAATCTCAGCTACTCCGGAGGCTGAGGCGGGAGAATTGCTTGAACCTGGAAGGTGGAGGTGAGCCAGGATTGCGCCATTGTACTCTAGCCTGGGCAAGAGAGCAAGACTCCATCTCAAAAAACAACAACAACAAAAATTCTTTATAAAGAGAAAAAAAAATGCTCTCATAAATTCTCCAACGAAAAATAGAGATAGGCGGCCGGGCGCGGTGGCTCACGCCTGTAATCCCAGCACTTTGGGAGGCCGAGGCGGGTGGATCACGAGGTCAAGAGATCGAGACCATCCTGGTCAACATGGTGAAACCCCGTCTCTACTAAAAATACAAAAAATTAGCTGCGCACGGGGACACGTGCCGGTAATCCCAGCCTCTCAGGAGGCTGAGGCAGGAGAATTGCCTGAACCCAGGAGGCGGAGGTTGCGGTGAGCCGAGATCGCACCATTGCACTCCAGCCTGGGTAACAAGAGCGAAACTCCGTCTCAAAAAAAAAAAAAAAGAAAGAAAAGAAAAATAGCCACGCTTAAAAAATCCTAAGGCTGGTGGGCAGATCCCTTGAGCCCAGGAGTTCGAGACCAGCCTGGTCAACATGGCCAAACCCCATCACTACAAAAAATATATAAAAATTAGCCGGGCATAGTGGCACATGCCTGTAATCCCAGCTACTCCAAGGCTGAGGTGGGAAAATCGCTTGAGCCCAGAAGAGGGAGGTTACAGTGAGCCGAGATCGTGCCACTGCACTCCAGCCTGTGTGACAGAGCGAGACCCTGTCTCAAAAAAATTAAATTAAATTAAAAAGAAAATAAAGAAAAAACCCTAAGGCTGAATACAGGCTCATTCACTTGGGGTCTCCTTTCACCCAGGCAAGCAGCTTTCTGTCTCTGCATTTTCCCAAGACTCCAAAGCAGGCTGGGGTAGGGTAGGGTGTAGAACACAGGAAACGCAGCCAGTTCTCCTTCACTTCTCACCATCTTGATCTCCTGCCAAACCAAAATCCTATGTCTTTACTTTTAACATACGCTTACAAAAATGCAGCCTTCTGTGGGAACATTGAGATCGTGCATTCCAAATTACTTAAGGGGATGATTTTTAAATTTAAAGAGTCTAGTTCTCCAAGAAATTCCGGTTTGGGATAGAGAGGAATCTGGGAGAGATTTAGAAGAGAATGAATTTTTTTTTTTTTTTTTTTTTTGAGACGGAGTTTCGCTCGTTACCCAGGCTGGAGTGCAATGGTGCGATCTCGGCTCACCGCAACCTCCGCCTCCTGGGTTCAAGCAATTCTCCTGCCTCAACCTCCTGGGTAGCTGGGATTACAGGCACGCGCCACCATGCCCAGCTAAATTTTTGTATTTTTAGTAGAGACGGGTTTCACCATGTTGACCAGGATGGTCTCGATCTCTTGACTTCGTGATCCACCCGCCTCGGCCTCCCAAAGTGCTGTGATTACAGGCGTGAGCCACCGCGCCCGGCCGAGAATGAATTTTAGAAAAGTAGCGAGATCAGGATAGTCAGTTTAGCGTTTGGATTTTGCAGTCGAACTTCAGCAAAGTGAATTAACCTCTCTGGTCTTAATTTTCTCAGTGGAAATAGGGAAAATAATAATGCTTACTTTGATGAGTTACTTTACTTCAACATTTAAAAAACCGACTCTCTGTTAGCTAGTCTAATGATAAAAGTATAGATAGAGCATCGTCCCTTGCTGTGAAAGATCTTATGAACAAGTGAATTGCGGTGAGGAGTCACACATAGTATGTGCTCAATAAACATTATTACTTTATTGTTTAGATTAGAAGAGAGGGGGAGGGAGAATTGAAAGCGGTTTGGAAACCGCAACTACTACCAAAGCCCTGGGGAATGGAAGTAGAGAGGAATTTCGGGTTATGATTTGACTTCGGGTCTGAGTTTCAACGTTGAATTCTCCCATATTTGAGCCTGAATTCTCAGAAGAGAATAGGATGTAAGGGCTGAGATCATCTGGTACAGTTTAATGTAAATCGAATATTCTTGCCTCTCGTCACTATGCCCTGGCGAGAAGCACCACCTCCACCCAAGCGCATCCAATCTCAGCCCCAACTAGGTGACATCATCGCCCCGCCCTGTATCGCTAGGCCTCGGGGAGTCGTCTTGTCTCTAAGCTACAGTCCCCGCCCCAGTCCCAGCGGCGCCTGCGCACTATGGAGCAGGGTGGGGATGACGCGTGCGCGCTGCGTGAGGGTGGGGCTAGTGCGCACGCAGCCTCAGCTCCTACCCCGCCCTTGCTCTTCCCGGTTTCTCCGTCAGCCTGCGGCTCCCGGCTGGCGGCTGCTTCCGATAGGAGAGCGGTGTAGGGCGAGCAGGTCTCAGCTCCTCGTCATGTCATACGGTCCCTTAGACATGTACCGGAACCCGGGGCCCTCAGGGCCCCAGCTCCGGGACTTCAGCAGCATCATCCAGACGTGCAGCGGCAACATCCAGCGGATCAGCCAAGCCAGTGAGCCGGGGCACCGAGCTGGGGGGCGGGAGCTGTCCCGGGGACAGGCCTGGGTTAGGCTGCCGGGACGTGGAACCCGGCTGGGGCTACGGCCGAGGCCACATCTGGGGCTGTCTCGGGTTGTTCACTCTGGGAGCGGTGGGCTGCCATCCCTTAGTCTGTCAGGCCCGTGCTGCCCTAGGGTCCCCCGCCCCAGCTGAAGCTCGAGTTTCTTTTCTGGAGTTCTGCCCCCACGGTACTGGGGCCAAAACAGTCGACTTGGCAGCCCGAGGGTAGGAAGGGGCATGTGTGTCACCTCGAGAGCTGTGAGTGCGTTGACTTGGCGCAGTGGTCAGCCGAGTTTCTCCTGTCATCCACCTTCCTCCCTATCCACCTCGCTTTCCTCTTAGGCCAGTTTGGATGGGGTTGTTTACTGATTTAGGCTTCAGGTTTACATTCCGCTCAGCCCCTGGCTCCTCTGAAATCAGCAGCTTTCAATTAAGGGAAGTGGAGAGTGCATGTGTTTGGGTGACTTCATACACAGTTCTTCCTGTAATGAATTCGGAAATCAGACACAATGACTCGTATTTGAGAGGTGGGATGACTTCTGTTTTAATAAAGAGAATTCACCAACAACATTTCAATTTACATTATTTTGTCTTTTTGTAACAAAAAATTGGGGTATATTTTTGATTTCAGACAGATGAGGTTTTTGTTTTCCTTTTATACTTAGCTGCTCTTGAATAAATCTGGTACACAGGGAAGCTCAGAGCCACAACCACATAGCAAGTAAGGCATGGTGGAGTTGTTGGTGGAATTCAGAATGGTATTGTTTGTCTTAAAAGTCCCTCCTCCCCATTAGGGTCTGAGTGAAACTGTAGCTGAATGAGCCAAATACAGGGTGTTTCTTGTGCTTGAAATTCATCTTAGAGCTTTATAAACAGGAGATCAACAGCAGCTTTACTTGGAAAGAATGGTGATCATTCTCCTTGTTGTTTATTATTGTGTTTTGTGAGCTTGGTGTACTCTGATAATAGGTAGAACTAGTTAGTCCTGAATTATAATTATATTCTATATTTTAAAGAATATCACTTTGCTTTAGTTTTTTAATTTTTTTAAAAAATTTCTTTTTTGTAGAGATGAAGTCTCGCTATGTTGCCCAGGCTGGTCTCAAACCCCTGGGCACAAGCAGTTCTCCCACCTCAGCCTCCCAAAGTGCTGGGTTTACAGGCATCAGCCACAGTGCCCAGCCTAATTTTTTTTAATTTTTGAAAGTTTTAAAAAATTAAATATTTTTAAATTAGTTTTTTGAGACAAAGTCTAGCTCTGTCATCCAGGCAGAGTGCAGTGATCTGAGAGAAGTGGTACGATCCTAGCTCACTATAACCTTGAATTTCTGATCAGCTTCCTAAGTACTGAGGACTACAGGGATGCACTATCATGCCAGGCTAATTTTTAAATTTTTTGTAGGGATGGGGTCTCACTATGTGGCCCATACTCACTTTGCTTTTATAGTTAAATGTATATTATAGAATTTAAGAAGTAGAAAGTTTCTGATCAGAAGGGATTGAGACTGGGAGATTTGGAAGAAAGGAAGACAATGTGGCCTGTTAAAATCTAGAAGTAAAAAAAAGTTAATATGACCACTGGTTAGAAAGTACAGTACTTTTTGTTTCAGTTTCCGTTTGTGAAGGAACTGTAATACAGGTTAGATCAGAAAATTCTAGTTCAGGACTGAAATTTTCTTGTCGAAGCTAAGTCTAATTTTAATATCTGTGAAATATTCATTCAACATGTATCCATCTATCCACTTTATATATATATGTACACATACATATATATTTTAACCAGAATACTCCCAAAGGTAGCTCCAACATACAGTTTAAATTTAAATTTTTATTTTGAGACAGGGTCTTACTCTGTTACCCAGGCTGAAGTGCAGTGGCATGATCTCAGCTCACTGCAGCTTCAACTTCCCTGGCTCAAGCAATCCTCCTGCTTTAGCCCTACAGGTAGCTGGGACTACAGGTGTGCACCATCATGCCTGGCTAATTTTTATATTTTTTGTAGAGATAGGTGGCTGGGTGCGGTGGCTCAGTGGCTGGGCGTGGTGGCTCATGTCTGTAATCCCAGCACTTTGGGAGGCCGAGGCGGGTAGATTACAAGATCTACCCTGTAATCTAGCGAGACCATCCTGGCCAACATGGTGAAACCCCGTCTCTACAAAATAAAAATGAAAAAAAGAGATGGGGTTTGGCCATGTTGCCCAAGCTGGTCTTGAACTCCTGGGCTTAAGTGATCCACCCAATAGGCTAGGATTACAGGTGTGAACCACTCTGCCTGGCCTTCAACCTTCATTTATTTGAGTATGTAGTAAGTATTGGAACTGGCATGGATCTTTCAACGGGGAACCTGTGGAGTACATAACCAAAATATAAAGTTGAAAGGGACTGGTGCTATAGAGGAGATATAAATAACATGCAGGTATTCTGGGGAGAGAGATTTCTTTTTTTTTTTTCTTAGACAGAGTCTTGCTGTGTTGCCCAGGCTGGAGTGCAGTGGTGCTATCTAAGCTCATTAAACCTCTGCCTCCCAGATTCAAGTGATTCTCCTGCCTCGGCCTCCTGAGTAGCTGGGATTATAGGCGCACGCCACCACACCTGGCTATTTTTTTTTTTTTTTTTTTTTGTAGTTTTAGTAGAGATGGGGTTTCACCATATTGGTTAGGCTGGTCTTGAATGCCTGACCTCGTGATCCACCCACCTCAGCCTCTCAAAGTGCTGGGATTACAGGTGTGAGCCACTGTGCCCGGCTGAGATCATTTTTAATTGAGAAGGCATTGTGGCATTTGAGTTATGTCTGGAAAGAGGATAGAAAGATTTGGACCTTTGAAGGTAAAGAGAAGAAGAAAATTCCAGGAGATAATAAAATGAATATGCATCATAGTGGGAAAGCATAGGATATATCTAGAAGAGTAATTTAATTTGGCCAGAGTGGTAGATTCCAGAAAGTAGTGGGAAGAAAAAGAATTGAAAGGTAAACTGGAGCGCAAACATGAAGGATGTTAAATGCTAAGCTAAGGAGCTTGGATTTAATTATTTAGGAAAGTGTGAATTGAATTCAAGGGGAGAGAGACTGGAATCAGAGATACCAGTTAGGGCTGTGAAAATGAAAGGAAAGGACAGGATAGGTTTCCTTGGTGATAGAATTGGTAAGATTTAGCTATTGATTGGGCATTGGGCCCAAGGGGATCATTGAATTCAACTGTGAGTAATATTAATAGCTAACATTTGAGTACATACTGTGTGCCAGGCAGTATGAAAAATGCTTCATATGCATTATTTTATAACAACTCTTAAGCACCAGCATCATTTGCATGTTATGTGTTAGGAAACAAACTGAGAAAGATTAAATAGTTGCCCTGCTAACAAATGACAGTATATGAATTTGGAACTGGGTCTGTCTTTTATGACCAGCAATTTGTCTTTTTTATAATTTTTGATTATTATTACAGTTCTGAGCTGTGCTCAGTGGCTGACACCTGTAATCCCAGTACTTTAGGAAGCTGAGGAGAGATTACTTGAAGCCGGGAGTTTGAGACCAGCCTGGACAACATAGCAAGACCCCATCTCTACAAAAAAATTTAAAGATTAGGCCGGCCATAGTGGCTAACGCCTGTAATCCAAGCACTTTGGAGGTCAAGGCGGGTGGATCACCTGTGGTCGGGAGTTCAAGACCAGCCTGACCAACATGGTGAAACCCCATCTTAAAAAAAAAAAGAAAAAAGAAAAAAAATTTGAAGATTAACCAGACATGGTAGCATGTGCCTGTAGTCCCAGTTACTCAGGAGGCTGAGGCTGGAGAATCTCTTGAGTCTAGGAGTTGGAGGCTGCAGTGAGCTGTGATTATGCCACTGTACTCCAGCCTGAGTGCCAGAGCAATACTTTGTCTCTAAATAAATAAATTAAAAATAAATAAATAAGTAACAGTGCTATAGCAGTTAACATTTCAGGTTTACAAATATGCAAATAAATTGTTGTTGTTGTTGTTGTTTTTTTTTTGAGACGGAGTTTCACTCTTGTTACCCAGGCTGGAGCGCAATGGCGCGATCTCAGCTCACCGCAACCTCCGCCTCCTGGGATCAGGCAATTCTCCTGCCTCAGCCTCCTGAGTAGCTGGGATTACAGGCACGCGCCACTGTGCCCAGCTAAGTTTTTGTATTTTTAGTAGAGACGGGGTTTCACCATGTTGACCGGGATGGTCTCGATCTCTTAACCTCGTGATCCACCCGCCTCGGCCTCCCAAAGTGCTGGGATTACAGGAGTGAGCCATCGTGCCTGGCCAACTTGTTTTTTTACTCTCCAGAGGACACTCTGTAGGGGAAATACCTGAAGCCATGGTGCTTTCTCTTCTTGTGGTGTGTTCATCTCCTCTGCCAGATTTTTAGCTCCTTTGAGGCAAGGGACATGACTTACTCATCTTTATATTTCCAGTACTTATCTCAGTCCCAAACATGAAAGATCCGTTGACCCACTATGCAACAAATATTCTTGGAGCACCTGCTATGTGCTGGGGTAAAGCAGTGAATAAGAGATAAAATCCCTTTCCTGCCTGTGTGTGTATGTGTGTCTCTGTGTGTGTCTTTGTGTGTGAACACACATATGTACATACACATAAAAATAATGTCAAGTAATAATAAATGCTCTGAAGAAAAAGCAGGCAAAGTGGATAGAGAATGAGGCAAGAGGGAGGGTGAGTGTTTCAGTTGATCAAGGAAGGCCTCTCGGAGGAGGTGACATTTGAGTGAGTAGACGTGAATAAAGTGAGTGAGAGAGCTGTGTGAGTAGCTGGGGAAGGCATTCTAGGTAGAGGGCAAGAGCAAGGACTTTGTGTTCAAAGAAAAGCAAGAAGGAGGCTCATGTAGCTGGAGTACAGTTAGAAAAGGGAGGCAGAATAGGAAAAGAGGCCAGAGATGTAACCAGGGATTACATCACATAGGATCTTGATGCATAATACATTGT